CACTTCTCATCGTTGGCCGCCACGACCCGCTCGACGGCCTCGCCATGGCCCGCCTCGCGCATATATGCGCGAACCGCTCGAACGCGAGCTTCGAGAACACCCGCGCCTCGACTACGGCGACGACGGCGACGACGGCGACGACGACGACGACGACGACGCCTGCCGCGCGTGCGCGAGGGAGCACTCGTAATCCCAGCGCACTGGAATTACGAGCGGGAACCGCGGCTCGTCCGCCCACCGCGACCTGCGCGGCGTCAGCTGACCAGCCTCCTTCTCGTCGTCGCTCGTCGCGTGCCGCATCTGCGGGCGCGTCGCTGCCGCCCTCTCCGCCGCGTAGTCGGCGTCGCGGCGCATCCGCTTCGCGGCGGGCGCGGTCGGCGGCAGCTCCGCGACCTCAATGGGATGCACCCCCGCGCGCCGCGCGGAGGGGGGCGGTGGAAAACCGCTCGCCTTGGCGACGACCTCCGAGCCGCCATGCGCGGCGACGAACGCCGACTTGGAGGTGGGCGGCGGCGCCCGCGCGGCTGCGCCTGGAGGTGCAATCGGCGGAGCGGACATCGCTCCCAGCCGAAAGGGGCCCGAGGCTGCAGCTCGGGGGGCGGGCTTGCACCGGCGAGGCTGCAGCTCGCAGGACGCCCAATTCAATGGCGCATCACGACACGCATGACCACAACACAACAGCGACGAACACATGAAAAAAACAAGGGCGTGTGCATCTCAAACCGCACCACCCGCTAACCCGCGATTGAATCTCCACCCGCGAACCCGATAAGATCTTGATCGGGGGAGGCAACCTCGCAACGAAAAAACGAACCGTGCATAACATCATGATCGCACCACCGCACGCACAACCAATGACAACGCATGCACCGGTCAAGCTTCCCACCCGAAATACGATAACATTATGTAACACATCATGGTCGGGACGCCGCGTGCAAAGCAAAAGGTCACAATGCCGCATGCAGCGCGCTTGAAACACACTGAAGAAAACACGCGAGACAGCCATAATTGCAACTCACCACGGTCTCAAGAACGCTCGAATATATATATATATATATATATATATAGAGAGAGAGAGAGAGAGGAAACAAAAAAAACAAAAAACATTTTAGACTGTTAACGCGCCATAATCTGAATACCATTTTGCGGCACACGAGCGTCGCAATACCACATGCAAAAAAAGAAAAACAATACATGTAGCGCGTGATCCCCCTTAGATCGCATGCAAAACAGATGGGGAAACAATGAATGTAAGACATCATGGTCGAAGCACAACATGCAAACCTACATGGCAAACTCAGCGGCTTCAACTTAGAGACCGCTCCGATTTCACGAGAAACCACTGCGGACCCACATCGTGTTCGAACCAACACAAGTCAACCCGCAGAAAAAAATCAAAACAAAATGCATCGAACCAATCACACGCAAACGCAAAAACATACATGCGGAACAACACGAGTAGGCAACCAACAGGAAAACACATGAGACAACCGCTTCTGTAGCATACCATGACCTGACAATCATACACAACACCGATGCGTAAAACAATGACAGCTGATCTTACAAAGGCTTAGCTAAACTATCTTTAAATATGTTAAAGGGTTATCTAACTCATGTTAACTCATGTTAAGTGTTAGCTAAATCATGTTAGCGTATGTTAAAACATGTTAAAACTAAGTTAAACTGTGTTTAATCATGCTAAGTCATATTAAACTTTAGATTGTCCTTATGACGCGTTAGCTAACGTTGGCTGAGTTGTCTTAAACTTTAACTTGGGTTAGCTCAACGGTTTAACATGAGTTAACATGGCTTAGCTTGGTTAGCTCGCGTTAGGCGCATACTTACTAAAACAACCGTAACTCTTAGTAGCGATGTTAAGACACACCTACAGTATCTTGACGAGCCGTAAATCACCCTAAACGTTAGCTGGCTTTGTTAAGTATTTATTCGTGCGCTATCGGAGGTGAGGGGGTGTGAGATCGAAGTGGAACGGAGAGCCCCCTTTACCGGGAAATCGATTTCGATTTCGTGTTCGTGCGTGCCGTGCGCGCGGGCGAGGCGAAGCTGCGTGGGCGGGCGAGAGAAAGTCTCCTGTGGCTGAGGCGCGGCCGGACCAAATGACTCCCTTCCGGGCGGCCGGGGGCCCGCGGTGTCCCGCCGGTGTCCCGCTGGTGTCCCGTGTGGCCGAGGCGCGGCCGGACCAAATGACTCCCTTCCGGGCGGCCGGGGGCCTCGCGGTGTCCCGCCGGTGCCCCGTCGGTGTCCCTATTATGATGATGATATTGATGATGATGATGATGGTGATGATGATGACGATGTTGATGTTTTATTTTGATGGTCGATAGTGAGATCGGTAGTGATATCGATTGTGAGATCGAACGTGAGATCGAATGTCAGATCGCTTGTGAGATCGATTGTGAGATCGATTGTGAGACCGAATGTGAGACCGATAATGAGATCGATTGTGAAATCAATTGTGAAACCGAATGGGACATCGATTGTGAGATCGGTTGTGATATCGATAGTGAGATCGATAGTGATACCGAATGTGAGATCGATTGTGGAATCTATTGTGAGATCGATAGTCAGATCGATTGTGAGATCGATCGATTGAGTTAGTAGTGAGATCACTATCAGTAATGAGATCGATAGTGATTTCGGTAGTGAGATCGATGATGAGACCGAATGTGGGATCGGTTGTGAGTTCGGTTGTGAGATCGATAGTGAGATCGATAATGAGATCGAAAGTGAGTTCGATAGAGAGATCGATAGTGAGGCTGAATGCGAGATCGATTGTGATCGGAGGTGGGGGTGTGAGATCGAAGTGGAAGGGAGAGCCCCCCTACCGGGAAATCGATCTCGGTTTCGTGTCCGTGCGTGCCGTGCGCGCGGGCGAGGCGAAGTTGCGTGGGCGGGCGAGAGAAAGTCTCCTGTGGCTGAGGCGCGGCCGGACCAAATGATTCCCTTCCGGGCGGCCGGGGCCCCGCGATGTCCCGCCGGTGTCCCGCTGGTGTCCCGCGTGGCTGAGGCGCGGCTGGACCAAATGATTCCCTTCCGGGCGGCCGGGGCCTCGCGGTGTCCCGCCGGTGTCCCGTCGGTGTCCCGTCGGTGATGATGATGATGATGATGATGATGATGATGATGATGATGATGATGATGATGATGATGATGATGATGATGATGATGATGTTGACAACGATGATGATGATGGTGATGATGATGGTGGTGATGATGGTGAGTTCGGTAGTGAGATCGATAGTGAGACCGAATGTGAGATCGATTGTGAGATCGATTGTGATATCGATAGTGAGGTCGATAGTGAGACCCAGTGTGAGATCGATCGTGAGATCGATAGTGAGTTCAATAGCGAGATCGATAGTGATACCGAATGTGAGATCGATTGTGATATTGATTGTCATGTCGATAGTGAGATCGATAGTGAGATCGAACGAGAGGTCGATCATGTCTTCGGTAGTGAGTTCGACAGTGACATCGATAGTCAGATCGATTGTGAGATCGATTGTGAGCTCGATTGTGATATCGATAGTGAGATCGATAGTGAGATCGAATGTGAAATCGATTGTGAGATCGATCGAATGAGATCGATCGTGATTTCGGAAGTGAGATCGATCGTGAGACCGAATGTGAGATCGATCGCGAGATCGATAGCCAGATCGATTGCCAGATCTCTGGTGAGATCGATTGTGATATCGATAGCTATTTCGTTAGTGAGATCGAGTGTGAGATCGATAGCCAGATCGATTGTGAGATTGATCGAATCGATAGCGAGATCGATAATGAGATCGATAGTGAGATCGATCGAGTGCGACGGTGGTCCCTCCCCCCCTCGCGTCCTTATCACCCGAAGGGTGGTCTATGCGGTAACAGGTTATGAAAACTTCTAGTGGTTGATGTTGTGCTTATACATGTTTAACGTATGCTTGTAACAACTTAGTAAGTAACTAAGTTAACGTAAACCAAGATGCTACCAAGTGGGCCCGGGAGGGTGGCCCGGGAGGGTGGCCCGGGAGGGTGGCCCGGGAGGGTGGCCCGGGAGGGTGGGCCCGGGAGGGTGGCCCGGGAGGGTGGCCCGGGAGGGTGGCCCGGGAGGGTAGCCCGGGAGGGTGGCCCGGGAGGTGGGGCCCGGGAGGGTGGCCCGGGAGGGTGGCCCGGGAGGGTGGCCTGGGAGGGTGGGCCCGGGAGGGTGGCCCCGGAGGGTGGGCCCGGGAGAGGCCCGGGAGGGTGGCCTGGGAAGGTGGCCCAGGAGGGTGGGCCCGGGAGGGTGGGCCCGGGAGGGTGGGCCCGGGAAGGTGGCCCGGGAAGGTGGGCCCGGGAGGGTGGGCCCGGGAGGGTGGCCCGGTGGGGCCCGGGAGGGTGGCCCGGGAGGGTGGCCCGGGAGGGTCCTCGAGGGCGGAGGGGAACCCGGGAGGGTGGCCCGGGAGGGCCCCCGAGGGTCCCCGAGGGCGAGCCCGCGCAAGCGCAACGAGAGGAGGAGGAGGAGGGAAGGGGAGGGTGGCCCAGGAGCGTGGCTCGGGAGGGTGGCCCGGGAGGGTGGGCCCGGGAGGATGGCCCGGGAGGGGGACCCGTGAGGGTTCGGGGGACTCGGGCGGGTGGCCCGGGAGGGTGGCCCGCGGGAGGGTGGGCCCGGGATGGTGGCCCGGGAGGGTGTTCCCAGGGGGGCCCGGGAGGGTGGGGCCGGGAGGGTTCCCGAGGGTGGGCCCGGGAGGGTGGCCCGGGGGGTGGGTTCGGGAGGGTCTCCGAGGGTCCCGAGGAGGAGGAGGGAGGGGGAGGGAGAGAGGGGGAAGGAGGGATGGAGGGAGGACGGCCACGAAGGGGAGTGCCCACGCCGGGGGGGTCCGGGGGCCGCGATCCCGTCGCGCGATCCGGCTCGCGATTCGATTCGACAGGGTCGCGATCCGGTCCGCGGTTCGATTCCGCGAGGTCGCGATCCGGTTCCCGGTTCGATTCGCCTGCGGTTCGCAGCGATCCGGTTCCAGGCGATGCGATTACGATTTCCCGACGGGGGCGCGCTGCCCTCCCCTGCCCGGCCTGCAGGAGCTGTGGCTGGGCGCAACAGCATCGGCGACGAGGGCGCGCGGGCCCTGGCGGGGGCGCTGCCCTCCCTGCCCGGCCTGCAGGAGCTGCGCCTGGGCGGCAACAGAGGTCCGCGCGAGATTCGATCCGGGTCGGTTCGATTCGGCGAATCGCCTCGCCGCGAATGCCGATTCGATGCTGGAGGCCCCCTGCCACGATCCGGTTCGCGATTCCATTCGGTTGCCGAGCGATGCAATGTTGCGATCCGGCGCAGAGCGGGCGACGATCCGGCTCGCGATTCGATTCGACAGGGTCGCGATCCGGTCCGCGGTTCGATTCCGCGAGGTCGCGATCCGGTTCCCGGTTCGATTCGCCTGCGGTTCGCAGCGATCCGGTTCCAGGCGATGCGATTACGACTTCCCGACGGGGGCGCGCTGCCCTCCCCTGCCCGGCCTGCAGGAGCTGCGCCTGGGCAACAACCGCATCGGCGACGAGGGCGCGCGGGCCCTGGCGGGGGCGCTGCCCTCCCTGCCCGGCCTGCAGGAGCTGCGCCTGGGCGGCAACAGAGGTCCGCACGAGATTCGATCCGGGTCGGTTCGATTCGGCGAATCGCCTCGCCGCGAGTGCCGATTCGATGCTGGAGGCCCCCTGCCACGATCCGGTTCGCGATTCCATTCGGTTGCCGAGCGATGCAATGTTGCGATCCGGCGCAGAGCGGGCGACGATCCGGCTCGCGATTCGATTCGACAGGGTCGCGATCCGGTCCGCGGTTCGATTCCGCGAGGTCGCGATCCGGTTCCCGGTTCGATTCGCCTGCGGTTCGCAGCGATCCGGTTCCAGGCGATGCGATTACGATTTCCCGACGGGGGCGCGCTGCCCTCCCCTGCCCGGCCTGCAGGAGCTGTGGCTGGGCAGCAACAGCATCGGCGACGAGGGCGCGCGGGCCCTGGCGGGGGCGCTGCCCTCCCTGCCCAGCCTGCAGAAGCTGCGCCTGCGCGGCAACTACATCGGCGACGAGGGCGCGCGGGCCCTGGCGGGGGCGCTGCCCTCCCTGCCCGGCCTGCAGGAGCTGCGCCTGGGCGGCAACAGAGGTCCGCACGAGATTCGATCCGGGTCGGTTCGATTCGGCGAATCGCATCGCCGCGAGTGCCGATTCGATGCTGGAGGCCCACTGCCACGATCCGGTTCGCGAATCCATTCGGTTGCCGAGCGATTCGATTGCCATCCGGTGCAGAGCGGGCGACGATCCCGTTCGCGATTCGATTTGGATCCGGCTGACCCGACGCCCGCTTGCTGCGCGAGAGGCCGCCAGGCTAAAGAAAAGGAGGTGGAATGGGAGGAGGTGGACAGCGAGCTGTCCGGACCGGGGAGATCCAGGGCCGGACCAGTGGCCCGGGAGGGTGGCCCGGGAGGGTGGCCCGAGAGGGTGTGCCAGGGAGGGTGACCCGGGAGGGTGGGCCCGGGAGGGTGGCCCGGGAGGGTGGCCCGGGAGGGTGTGCCCGGGAGGGTGTGCCTGGGAGAGCGGCCCCGGAGGGTGGGCCCGGGAAGGTGGCCCGGGAGGGTGGGCCCGAGAGGGTGGCCCGGGAGAGTGGCCCGGGAGGGTGGCCCGGGAGGGTGAGCCCGTGGGGGTGGCCCGGGAGGGTGGCCCGGAAGGGTGGAGCCGGGAGGGTGGGCCCGGGAGGGTGGGCCCGGGAGGGCAGGCCGGGGAGGGTGAGTCCGGGAGGGTGGCTCGGGAGGGTGGTTCGGGAGGGTAGGCTCGGGAGGGTGGCCCGGGAGGGTGGGCCCGGGAGGGTGGCCCTGGAGGGTGGCCTGGGAGGGTGGGCCCGGGAGAGTAGCCCGGGAGAGTGGGCCCAGGAGGGTGGGCCCGGGAAGGTGGGCCCGGGAGGGTGGGCCCGGGAGGGTGTGGCCCGGGAGGGTGGCCCGGGAGAGTGGCCCGGGAGGGTGGCCCGGGAGGGTGGCCCGGGAGGGTCCCCGAGGGTGGGGCCCGGGAGGGTGGCCCGGGAGGATGGCCCGGGAGGGTGGGCCCGGGAGGGTGGGCCCGGGACGGTGGCCCGGGAGGGTGGGCCCGGGAGGGTGGCCGGGAGGGTGGCCCGGGAGGGTGGGCCCGGGAGGGTGGCCCGGAAGGCGGGAGGGTGGCCCGGAAGGCGGGAGGGTGGCCCGGGAGAGTAGCCCGGGAGGGTAGCCCGGGTGGTCCCGGGAGGGTGGCCCGGGATCCCGGCTCGAGAGCGGCCCGGAAGGCGGGAGGGTGGGCCCGGGAGGGTGGCCCGGAGGGTGGCCGGGAAGCCTCCCGAGAGTGGAGCCCGGGAGGGTGGCCCGGGAGGGTGGGGCCCGGGAGGGTGGCCCCGGAGGGTGGCCCGGGAGGGTGGCCCGGGAGGGTGGCCCGGGAGGGTGGCCCCGGGAGGGTGGCCTGGGAGGGTGGCCCGCGGGAGGGTGGGAGGGGGCCCGGGAGGGTGCGCCCGGGAGGGTGGGCCTGGGAGGATGGCCCGGGAGGGTGAGGCTCGGGAGGGTGGGCCCGGGAGGGTGGCCCGGGAGGGTGGCCCGGGAGAGTGGCCCGGGAGGGTGGCCCCAGGAGGGTGGCCTGGGAAGGTGGCCCGGGAGGGTGGCCCTAGCCCGGGAGGGTGGCCCGGGAGGGTGGCCCGGGAGGGTGGCCCAGGAGGGCGGGCCCGGGAGGGTGGGCTCGGGAGGGTGGCCCGGGAGGGTGGGCCCGGGAAGGTGGCCCGTGAGGGTGGCCCGGGAGGGTGGCTCGGGAGGGTCGGCGCGGGAAGGTGGCCCGGGAGGGTGGCCCAGGAGGGTGGCCCGGGACGGTGGCCCGGGAGGGTGGGCCCGGGAGGGTGGCCCGGGAGGGTGGGTTCGGGGGGGTGGCCCGGGAGGGCCCGGGAGGGTGGCCCGGGAGGGTGGGCCCGGGAGGGTAATTACCCGAGGGTGTGGCCTGGGAGGGTGGCCCGTGAAGGTGGGCACGGGAGGGTGGGCGCGGGAGGGTGGGCTCGGGAGGGTGGCCCGGGAGGGTGGCCCGGGAGGGTGGCCCAGGAGGGTCCCCGACCACCCTCGAGCGCCAAGAGTGTGGCACCGAGGACAAAACGAGCGCAGCTCTAACATCTTGGGTTAAAGGGCGTGAAGTGTCACGAGTTGGCACCTCTGGGCTTAAGGCGCGGCCCCGCTACCATGTAGGATTGTATACATATGATTTTTTGAGCGAAACAAAAATAAGAGGAGGAGGCGGAGGAGGAAGAGAGGGAGGGGATGACCAAGAGGAGGATGCCAGGAAAGAATGATAAGATGATGATGGTTGTGATGATGACGAGGAGGAAAAAGAGGAACAAGTGAGAAGGAAAGAAGGGAGGAGCAGGATTGGTGAACGGGGACTAACACAGGCGTTTCCCAGAAGGCAGGGGGGCGGTGATTCGCCGTAGGCGTCGTCGATATCAAGGACTATGAACATTCGTATGTCCAGTGAAACCTTCGTCTGTACCCCAGACAGCGTGAAGACAGTCACCTGCTAAGAAACGAATGAGAATGAGTGAAATAGGTGCTGGGTATATTGTTATGATGGCATCATGCGATGTTCATGTGATGCCCTTGTTAGTGTGACGTTACTGCGATGCTGATGTTGATGATGTTGTTGTTGTTGTTGTTGCTGCTGCTGTTGTTGTTGTTGTTGATGTTGCTGTTGTTGTTGTTGTTGTTGTTGTTGTTGTTGTTGTTGTTGTTTTTGTTGCTGCTGTTGATGTTGATGTTGAGGTGAGTGTGATGGCAATGCAGGTGTGATGCTGTAGTATGATTTCTCCGCGAATCGCCCAAACAGCGATTCATGCTGTAGTATGATGTCTCCGCGAATCGCCCAAACAGCGATTCATCAATCGTCGAAGTCGTCAAATGCATCAACCAACCATTTGAAGATAACCATGTACGGCGTGTTGTGTTTATGGCAACTCAAAGCTATATCTTTCATGACTCTCTGTAAATCCTCTGGGGCATAATTCCATGTGTATGTCGGATTGATCAGGGAGCAAGCCTGCACTTCGCACAGGTGTTGAAATGCATGGCACTTTGCTGTCATCTTCCACATGCGTTTGTTATTTAACAACGCCTCGTCTGCAAGATTTGTGTAAATCGACACCAAAAACTCGGACAACGTGCTGATCTCTCTTTTCGCTTCGTCGCTCAGCTGCCTCGGCTGCTCGTCGATAATCTCGTAGAAGCGGCTGAGCAAATGGCATATCGCATGACGACGGTTATCGTGCAAATCTCCACTGTTGTGAACACGGGTAATATGGGCTGCATACTTAGATAGATGCCTTGTAGCTGCACCTTTTGCTTTGAGCTTGGGCCAGTCGTTTGACGTCTTGAGCCGCTCGTATGCGAGCTTCCCCTGGATGCGCGAATCGGTGCGATGGTTATCGTACCAGCTCTTGATGCTTTTCTCGAGACCTTGGGCTTGAAGCTGCTGGTTCCCGCCCCAGTGGCCAAGGCCCATGACCTCCACCAGAGCGTTTGCAATGATGTGGGAAGCTATGCCTTGGTCCAGAACGTGGAGGCAATCGAGGGCAACGCCCTCCAACCTCAGCGACGTGATTCGAAATAGCGCTGGCAGCGGAGAGCCGCTCTCTCGAAGGGACTCCAGGTAAGACTCATGGGATTTCATCGTTCTGCGCCAGCCACGCTTGGTCCAACATAGATCTGAATCCAAGGAATTGGTCGCACTGCACATCCAACACATGTTAGGGCTTGAGTCCCACCTAGGGAAGTTTAGAGCTTGAGTGAAGAATTCCCAGTCCCCACGTAACATCACAACAATTCCCTTGTAGCCGTTGGCACGCAGCGGCGTGCCGTCCCCACGCACCCCGCGCATCAACTGATTCATTCTTTCCGCGAGGTCGGCAAATAGAATCTCGAGGGTGCCCGAATGCATTTCTGACTTCTGAACAACTGTGAAGATGAAGTGAGTTGCCCGTGTGGATCCCTTGCTGAGGAGGCTCGTCCAACTAATCGTAAAGAGACCATCCGTCTTGTGGGTTGCTGCGCCGTCCCCGTGAATCGTCAGAGGAATTGAATGGGTGTGATCTATGTGCGTCCGACTTGATGCGTATATAACGTGCTCTCTCATCTCCTTCCAAAACTCATTGGCGTCACCTGGCAGGCCGCGAATTTTCTTGTCGAAACCCTCACCGCCTTTCTTGGCGATGCTCTCGAACATGCAGCGGGGGTCTACCACAGGATGCGCCTTCGGCGGATCGCCAGGAACTGCAACGTTGATCCACTGAACTTCAGGGGCCCCAGAAGGCCATCCAAAGGCGCGAAGTAGGTTTCTATGTGCATGTTTGGGGTCGTCGGGAGCGTTGCCCATGCGGCCCAGGCCCCGTGCCCCCTGAGCAGCTGCCCCAGAACCGTACTCCAATACTTTGTTAGCTGGTAGCTTCCCTCTCGCCCAATCCCGTCGCAGAGAATCTGTTAGCGGCGTGGGGTCTGGTCTCGACTCAGCCGTTTGATCATCCACGACCCTCTTCCGAACACCGTTGCCCAACGGTATCGGGGCAGCGCCCGCTTTCAGCATTTCCCCAGCTACCCGATGCCGAACGCCTCCTCGACGAAGTGGTTCCGAGGGCAAAGGGCTCTGAGGTTGATCAGCACTCTCCTCGCGTACTCGGTCACGAATACCACGCTTACCCATTGCCACCAGGCTTGCACAGCAAACAACACGTGCAAACATCCAAAACATCATCACTTTTCAAGTGTATGAGAACATGTATGCAATGAAATGCAGTCGACGCAGAAGCCTGCTCCGAAATTGTGCCAAAACGGCTGCTGAGGAGCGGGAGGCGGGGGCTAACACCCTCATACCAAACGGATGACCGAGCTGCCACTTAGAGCACCAGGAGAGTTGGAACATAATGAAATCCAGTCTTCGCATTTCTTCAAGATGCGACTCGAGCAACTTGAAAAGTTACCGGCCCCGTCCGCGACTCGAGCCGAATCCAGCCGCGGCGACGAGGCCTCCCACCCCTGCGACCTCACGCCCCTCTCCTTCAGTACTTGGTCAAGGGTTACTGCCCCACGGTTCTCAGTGAAGCGGAGCTTAGTGTCAGTTTTCTTATGGTAGTCTGGTTTCTTGTGGTAGTCTGGTTTTTTATGGTAGTCTGGTTTCTTATAGTAGTCTGGTTTCTTATGGTAGTCTGGTTTCTTATGGTAGTCTGGTATTCTGTGATATTATGTCGCGTTTCCCCCCCAGCCGTGGCGCCGTGAAGCGGAGCTTAATGTCACAACAGATACCCCTTCTACTGAGTGTGAAGATCGACCGCACATGGTTCTCCGCGAAGCGGAGCTTAGTGTCACAAAAGATGTCCCTTCCTCCTCCTTCTGCTGCTCCTCCTCCTCACTCCTGCTTCTCCTCCTCCTCCTCCTCCTCCTCCTCCTCCTCCTCCTCTGCTTCCTCTTACCGTTTCCGCT